GCATTTTAGGGTGTGTTTGCCTAGACTTTAAGGAAGCCGTTATACTCCACATGCATTTTTTTTTTTTCTTAATAGGATTTTACTGGTATTGTTTTTTTGGTTTTTTTTAAAGAAATTTTCATTAGGATAAAATTCACATAACCATTTTAAAATGAATAATTCACTGGCATTTGGGCAGCCACCACCTTTCTCTAGTTCCAAGACATTTCCATCACCCCCAAGGGAGATCCCAGGCCCATTAAGCAGTCACTCCACACTCCCCTGGCAACCACTTATCTGCTTTCCGTCTCTCTGCATTTGTCTGTTTGAGACACCCTATATAATAAAAGCCTAATATGCTGTGTCCAGTCGTCCAATGACCGGTCAACTGTTCAACCAATCAAAGCGTAATATGCAAATGATATGCTAAGTCCACTCAACTGCTAGCTATGATGTGCACTGACTACCAGGGGGCAGATGCTCCAACTGGTAGGTTAGCTTGCTGCTGGGGACTGAGAGAGATGGGCCAGACATGCCCTAGAGCCCTCCTATGGTCCCTCCCCAGCCCTGATTATGTACCGGTGGGGTCCTTCAGCCTGGCCTGTGCCCTCTGGCAATCTGGGACCCCTTGGGGAATGTCAGAGAGCTGGTTTCAGCCTAATCCCGCCGGCCACTTCCCTTGGGAGGGCGCCAGATACAGGGCTCATGGCTGGCAAGCGCTGCTGTAGTGACGATCCTCTTCCAATTGGAACTGATGAGGCGTAACCTGTCGTGTTCCAGTGGGGTCAGAATGAGCGGAAGCAAAGGTGGGAGCTGCAGGCAGCACTGGACTGCGGGTTTCGCCCAATCCTCACAGGCCACACTGAGAGACCCCACCATGCACAAATTTGTGCACCAGGCCTCTAGTTTTCTATAAAGGGAATCACATAGGGCATGGAATTGTGTCTGGCTTATTCTTACTGTTTTGTACCTTGTGGTTTCAATGAACATATATGGTGCGTATGTTAATATGGTAGATCTGTGTCCCCTTTCCAAAGGCTGCTATGGTGCTCCAACGTACAGATGTGCCATTTTCTGTTTATCCAGCCTCCTTTGGAGGACACAGGGAATCAGACTTAGACTACAAGCATTGGACTTCCTACCAACGGAGCCAGAGCTGACACTTTCCTAACCTACCTGCCTAATGTGAGGCTCTGCACATCCACAGAGGCCTCCAAGACCATCTCCCCTAGGAGGGGAAAGTAGCCCCCAGGCCATTGGCCTGAAGAGAGTCATGTATATCCCGGGAAAGTGCCCACTGTAAATGTGTCCCACAGCTGCTTGATAAGGGACCTGCTATACAGTCCCTTAGCGGGAACGGAAATAACCAATGAAGACCCCGGTTCCTCTGGGTTTTCATGAAGGATGGGAAGGTGAGCTGCCATTTGGCCAGGGGGATCTGACCTGCCGTTATTTTATTTAGACTCAGCGGCAGTGGAGAGGTTGGCAGGCTAGGGCTGCAGAGAGTGTAGGTGCCTGGGACACAGGTGGGAACAAAACCAAGCCCAGTATAAGGGGAGAAAACCAAGAAACGGATGAGTGTGTCCATCACCGTGCTCCCATGGTGATCAAGGCCAGAGCCAGGCAGGGATCTTGGGAGAGAGGCCCAGCTCATGTGAAGGCCCAGCTGTGGGATGGGCTTATCGCGTTCCAGGGGCCTCACGGAGGCCTGGGCACTGGACAGGAATGAGCAAGGGCAGAGTGGTGGGAGGGAGGTCAGAGACGTGGAAGGGTTGGGGGCAGCTCAGGTCTGATCTTAAGATCACCCTCCCTGGGGGCTGGGGAGCCACTGAAGGGTGATCTATTTATTTCCTTGATGAAAGTCCATTCTTTCCCAGAACTCCAGGAAACATCCTTTGTTTAGGACTGTCTTTGAATATCACCTTGCAGAACATGAAATATTTTTCCAAGCATGTCATCCTTTCATCTGGGCCCCTTGGGGAAATCAGTGCTTTATCACCCACTGCCATCTGTTGTCTCCAAGGCTCCATCTAAATAACTCCCGCGAGATCTGACTTCTAAGGCGCTTATCTCTTTTGTTCTCTCTGAATCCTGTGAAATGTCTGAACTTTCCTCTGAGAGTAGTGGCACATCTAAAATTGATCTCTCTACACCCTACGGCGGGGGGTGTCATTAGGGGAGTTGGCGAGATAGAAGAAAAAAGAGAGGAGGCAAGATACAAAATGACATATGCCATCTGATCTCAACTAAAAAGACAGAAGGTCAAGGATGCCTACACATCCTTCCCACACAGCTATTGTGGTGGCTGCAAACTCCATGCACTTCTCCTAAGGTCCTGTAGAGGGCGTCGAAGGTGGGTGGAAAGTATTTCATTTCTTATCTCCAGTTTCTGTTAAATTTCATAAATGAGGCTTTGATATAAAAACAGGCTAAGTGGAAAAACCCACAGGCCCCTCCAGACCATGCACTCTCAGCACCCCCCGAAGGAGGCCCGGGCAGTTGTCACATTCAATCAGGATTTAAAAGGTGGGACCCCGACATACATCCAATGTCGTTAATTCTGAAGAAAATGAATTAAGAGCTAATGGTGTGGGATTATGCCCCCTGTGTGCAGCTTGGAAGTTATTCACAATGGCACTTGGAATTAGGGGGCCTGGGCCGGGCAGGGCAGAGTGAAAAGGCTGAACCAGGAGACATAAGTCCCATGCTCCCATCTTCCCTTTGTTCTGGGGAAGAACCACCAATCGCGTGAAACCTTCCACTCCTTGCCTGCACGTGTTGGCTTTGTGCTCATTTTTACTTTTCACAAATTTAATAACCTATATTAGGAAGAAAAGATGAATTCTCTGGGTGAAGCTGGGGTGGGGACCAGAGACCAACCCTGCCCAGGCTCTTTGGAGAATGAGGATGGGGCTGAGGAGTCCTGGGAGGAAGTTTGAAAAAACACTAGTCCTTGTAATTACACCAATTCCAAGATGCTCCTCCTCTGGGCCTACTCTCGGTGGCCTGACGCCCTCTACAGGACATTGGGAGTAGCGCATGGGGTTTGCAGCCACCACAATAGCTGTGTGGGAAGGATGTGTAGGCATCCTCAACCTTCTGTCTTTTTAGTAGAGATCAGATGGCATATGTCACTTTGTATCTTGCTCTCTCTCTCTCTCTCTCTCTCTCTCTCTCTCTCTCTCTCTCTCTCTCTCTCTCTCCCTCCTTCTAACATAAGTATTTTTCCTGTCATTAACAATTCTTCATAAGTACTTCTAAAGCTTTGTCTTCTTTAAATTGAAAAATATAACATGTGCATGGCAAACTCTTTGGCACTAGTTATAAACATAATAAAATAGTGAGCAATGAGGAGAAATCTCTCTTGGCTTCAGAACCTAATTCTTCTCTCTAAAGGCAATCCTTGATAACAGTTTCTTATGTATTATTGTATCTCCTTCCAAAAATATATTCCAGATATATATATATATATATATATATATATATATATATATATATATATATATATATATATATATATATATATAAAGGCTAATATATAAAGTGTTCCCTTGAAAGTTAAACCTGGAGACTGGGAATTCAATTGCTCTCTTTGATGTGTGCTGACCACCAGGGGGCGGCACGGAATGAAGGAAGGCCCCAGCCAGCAGCCAGCAGCTGGGGAAGGGAGGCCCCAGCCAGCAGCTGGAAGGCCCTGATCAGCTCTGATTGCTGGCCAGGACTAGGGGCCCTACCTGTGTGCAAATTTTGTGCACTGGGCCTCTAGTACAAATATATACATAGTACATGTGTGCATATGTATATTTGAAAACATAGTTAGGTGCATAGCAAACAAACTGTTCTTTACCTTAATTTCTTCATGAACCACAATGTCATGGTGATCTTTCATAAGCAGATTATGACAGCTACATGCTACTCCAGTTTGCAGACAGGTGTTATTTACTTGGACAGTACAGGGGATGGGATTTTGAAATATGTGTGCAGGGGAACAAGGAGGTTTATAAGTAGGAATGTAAATGACAGGAGCAGTTTTGGCACAGGCCAGGCGACAGGGCAAGCCAGCGTGTTTCTTCTCAATGAACCTGTCCTATATCTAACTGTGGTGTGTGTGTGTGTGTGTGTGTGTGTGTGTGTGTGTAGGGATGTATAAGATCTGCCTTCCACACACCCCACTTTCAAATCCAGAAGCAGGACAGTGTTCCTGGTATGGATGGGGTCAGAGAGGCCCAGGGGGAATTGTATGGTGTGACAAACTCCCCCAACGTCCCCTCTAACTGTTTATTTTATTAGTCATGTGCCTGCATGTCCTATAGGCTATGCTCTGTGTCTTTTAACTTTCATCGAAACATAATGCCAAAAGGCCCAAAGAATCATGTGCCCAGCTCCACAGATCTGCACCACGCGACCCGGCAAGAAGCAGAGCAGGGCCGGCCTCCAGGGACCCTGAGCTCTCCCAGCCACCAACCACCAAGTGGCCGCTGTCCTAGCTCCTATCACCAGATAACACTTTTGCCTCTTTTTGAACTAGAACATAAACAGATCGTGTGTTCTCTTGTAAGCTGGCTTTTTAAAAACAGTCAGTATTATGTTTGTGAGATTTACCCAAGTTGTATGAATTTATCCATTCTACGTATGAATTGCAAATTCCTAAAGCCCCCTATGGATTATAAGATATGTGTGCATATAGATATATATGTGTGCATGTACTTTTATCTGTATATATACACACACACATATACATACCCTGTTTATATACATGTTTAAAATGAATGTGATGTATATGTGTATATATATTAGGATAGACGCTTAACGTACAAACTGGTCACATTCGTTTATCCTTTTTGCTGCTGATGGATCGGCTTGCCCTCCTCTCAGTTGGGGACTATTACAAAGAGAAACATGGTTAATCCTCAGAGCAACCCACCCCTGCTGCTTCTGCTGTGCTTACAGGAAACACTCAGAGGTTCAGAGAGGCCCAGCGGCTTGCCCTGGGCACCATTGACACCGCCCTCTCCCCGCAGGCCCAGGAGGCCGATGGCCCCTGGCAGCCCCGCACGGACCGCTGCCCGCCACCCCCGCGCTCGCTGCCCCCCGGAGCCTGCGAGGTGGAGCCCTGCCAAGCGCACACCCAGTGCCCGCAGCGCCAGCGCTGCTGCCATAATGGCTGTGTCTACACCTGCCTGGAGGCCGTGCCGCCCCCGCCAGGTAGGCGCCCCGGGGCTGGGGCCATGGGGAGGCGGCGGGTGGGGGTTGGCGAGGGTGGAGGGAGGGCACCCAGGTGAACTGTCCCTCCAGGCCCTGCCCCGAGGTGGAGCTGGGAGGAATGCGGGTGGACGTGCCCATCTGTGAAGGGGGAAGGCTGCGGCTCGCTGGGCCAGCTCCGAGCTGGGCGTACTGAGCGCGTTGCTCTCGGGGAGCTCCAGTGCGGAGAGGAAACGTGTGCTCCGGGAGAAATGACCCTCCTGTGAAGATGGGGGAGATCTCTCCTTAAAAGACTGGACCAGCCAAAACCGGTTTGGCTCAGTGGATAGAGTGTCAGCCTGCGGACTGCAAGGTCCCGGGTTCAGTTCCCGTCAAGGACATGTACCTTGGTTGCGGTTGCGGGCACATCCCCAGGAAGGGGTGTGCAAGAGGCAGCAGATCGATCTCTCTCTCTCTCTCTCTCTCTCATTGATGTTTCTAGCTCTCTATCCCTCTCTCTTCCTCTCTGAAAAAAAAAAAAAAAAAAAAAAAAAAAAAAAAAAAAAAAAAAAGACTGGGCCACTCCCCTGGGCCACGGGCTGCTGGAGCCTCGTGTGCCCGTAGGTGGCAAGGAGGCCCTCAGTTCTCCACGGACCCACCAGGTCCCTTTCCCTCACATGCCTGGCCCAGGGGGCATTTGAGATGGAGACCTGGGGCTTTCGAAGGCCAGGTGGGGTGCCCAGAGAGGCGGGGGGTGCAGACTCCTGGGTTTAAATTCACGGGCTGGCTGGTGTCCTCCTTAGACCTCTCCCCTCCCCCAAACCCAAACACAAGGAGAGCGGGACTGAAGTGAGAAAGGGCAGCTTATGGCGGGCCTGACCATTCGGAAGGGCTTGGGCCCCGCAGGGCTCGGAGCAGGTCACCAATAGCGCGTGTAATCTTAAGCAGAGTCCCTCTGGGAGGAGCAGTTCCAGAGATCCGTCTTTGAAAGGAAGGAGTTTCAGATTCCTTCTGGAGAGAAGGTTTAGGACAGGATGGAAGGGAGCCCGTGGGGAACACGGAGCAGCTGGAGGCAGGGGGAGGAGATGGACAGTTACCCGCCTCTGGATGGAGAAAACGTGTCCCTAATTGGTTACGGGGGCAGCAAAGTCTCCACTCCCAGTTCTGCTTGGACAGCACCTGTGGTTCCATGGGCTTCAATTACTGAAGTTGGTTCAAAGGTTAGCACCAACCTCTCCTCTCCTCCCAAGGCCAAAGCTACAGCGACCACAGATCCCCCCTCCCCCCTCCCCATCTCCTTTGGAGTGAGATCACAGCCCTTCAAGATGCTCTTAATCACAGTCTCTGGAGCGTCTGAGCACTTCCTCTGGTTCAGAGACTGGGCAGGCACTCAGGACCAGGAGGCTCCTACAAGGCCCTTTATAAGAAAGACGACATGGCGCCCCCTCCTGGTGGAAGAAGCAGGTGTGGAAGTAAAAAACGCTGCCCCTTCCTGAGGATTGCGGATTCCCACAGGGCTCAGGGATTCTAGCCTCACCGCCGTGCAGGCCAGCTGCTTCCTGCAGTGCACAAGCTGTGCAACTGGCCCTGGCATTCCCGGCGGCCTTTCCATACACCATCTCATGCAGTTTTATGCTCACGCAGTCCTGGGAGGTGGAGAGACTGTTGTCAGCTCTATTTTACCGTCGAAGACACTGAAGCTCAGAGGAGCCCAGCTGCCTGCAGAGGTCGTACAGCGGACAGAGCTAGAGTTTCAGCCAGTCTTCCGTGAGGTGTCCACTGCCTTAGGCCCCAAGTGCAGGGTTGTGGGGCCCCTGCTTCAGTACCTGGCCCGTATACAGGCCCCTCACTGCCTGAAACACCCCAATCCCAGACACCCTGGAGGAGGCTCACTTCCCCTCTCCGCCAGAGGTGGCCACTTTATCTGGGAAGATCCCCTCTCTGCATAGCAGTCCCTCCTCCAGCCATCCATTACCCTCTTTATCTGCTTCAGTTTTCCTTACAGTCCACTCCGAATATTGTGTTTTACTTATGTGTTCACTGACTGTTTCCCCCACGTGAAGGGCAGACCCCCAAGGAGAATTTGGTCTGTTTTATTCACTACTATATCTTCCACCATCTAGAACAGTCTCTGGGCTCCTAAAAGTTATTCAATGAATCTATGATTCATAAAGTAATAAAATGACTAGTTTCCACTGGGCAGCCGAAAGAGACATTAGTTAGCCATAATAACAATGGCAATGATATTTAACACAAGGTTCCTCCCCTTCACCACTCCTAGGGGTTAGATAATCCGACTTGAGGTTGTGTTGGGGGCTGACCTGGGCACTGTAGGCTAGTGAGCAGCATTCCTGGCCTCTCTCCATTAGATGCCAATACTACCCCCACTCCACATCCTGACAACCAAAAATATCTCCAGACTTTGCTAAATGTTCCGTGGAGAGCAAAATTGCTTCGGACTGAGAACCATGATCTTACGCGAGCAGATGCCTTGGAGTGCATTGGGTCCTATTCTGAGCAGCTTACACACTTCATTGCATTCCCCGGGGGGTGGAGAGGCTGTTTTCAAAAGCGAATCTTGAGATCAGGGCTGGGGTACAGGGAGTTTAGGTAGCAGGTGACCCCAGGAAGTTCCAGTGAAGGAGCAGAGAGGTGAGCCTGTGGGCCTCCAGGCCTTTGGGAGTCTGCAAATGGATGGCAGGCCTTCACTGAGTTTCAGGATTCCAAAAAGTGTAGCAACATGTGCACAGTTCCCTGCTGCTCAAAAACCTTTGAACAGAGCAGAGGAGAATACAAACAGTAAATATCGATAAGTTTCCTTTTGCTAAAAGATAGCATTGAAAACATTTTCTATTGTATGGTGGGAAGAAGGGGACAACCAGAAGATTGGAAATAGTGGCTGCAGAATGTCATCATGCCATTCCTCTTGTTTGGAAATTGCAAATTATGGGTTTGTTCCCCTGCTGTTTCAATTTCCATGCTATGGGATGATCCAGCATTTTTACTAATACCCATCTATACACTTTCAAAGGCGCTAGACAGCACATGAACCGCTTTAATTTGGTCATGTTTCTGATTCTGACTAAAGCAGAGGTCAGAAGCAAATGTAATCTCAGACTGATTTCATTTGCTCTCCAAAGTGCTTTAAAATTTTTAAATTACTTGTTGCCAAACATTTAAATACCAGAAGATTCATATTAGTTAGATTTATAGCTTAAAACAAAAATCAGCTCTGGAAACACTGGGAACAGCTGGCCAAAGCTGACCAACAGCTGACCCACTGAGGCAGAAATCCTCCCTAGTTTGCCATATCTGTTTGTCCCACCGTGCCCGATTTCCTCCTTTATATTATCTACCTGCTTCCGGGAGGTATTTGGGCTTTCAACCCCTGCTTTGGATATTTGAAGACCTTTCAGTCTACTACGTGGGTCACTCTTCTGGTTAAAAATGTACTGGTTATAGAACAAACTGTGCTGCTGTAACAAAAAGACCCAGAACTCAGGGGCCCAACCAATGAGGCGTTTACTTCTCCCTCAATTAATAGGCCAGAGGTAGACAGATGGTTCGTGGCAGCCAGGTGGCTTTGTTCCACAGTCATCCAAGGACCCAGGTTCCCTCCATCTTGTTGCTCCACAAGATCATAGTGGCTCCCAGCCTGTGGGAAGAGGGAGAGAGAAATGAAGGGGAGAAAACAGGCATAGGATGCAAGAGCAAGACCACAAGTTACATCACCACTTCTGCTCACATTCCATTGGCCAGAACTCAGTCACATGGCCACACCTAGTTGCAAGAAAGGCTGGGAAATGTAGTCCCCAGCTAGGCCACACAGTGGCCAGCCAAAACTCAAAGTTCTATTACTAAAAGGAAAGGGCAATGCTGGAGAACCACCATTGTTTCTCCCCCAGGAGCTGGGGCATTTCTCAGCTGCCTGCGGAGGGCCTCAATTTAACCATGTGTTATTTTGTTAGTTGTAGATTGGCTGGTAGAGCCGAAACCTCGGTGGCTTGGTGGCAACGGCTGGCTCCTGGATGGCCCCAAGGAGGTGTTACAAGGTACTTACAGGATCAAGCCCAGACCTGACGTCATAGCCAGGATCCCTTTCAAGCTGCCACCAGAATACTGATCATAGGGGCTGCCTCTGCTTCAGCATACTGCCTGCCCCCCAATACTCAGACCTCTTAGAGCCTCCCCCAACACAGGGGGAGGGTGGAGAGGGGATTGGCCAGGCTCTCAGTATCCCCAGGACAATACAGAGTTTGACTCTCCCTGGGAATGGGGCCCCCTTCCTGGTGGAGAATTGAGGGGGAGGGTGCTTGGGGCTGGTTTACAGATCCCTAAACTCCTAGTAAGGGGATTGCTGCCTCCTGATGATGGGAGCAATGATGATGGGAACCACCCGGGGCTAGAGAGCTGTAGGGTTCAAATGTGTACACTTCATGTATGTCATGTGCTTGTGATTCTGCACACTTCTCTGGGTGTGACTGTGTCCGTGAGAGTATACCGCTGTGCAAGAAACCCGCTGTGTATGTCTGAATATTTGTGCATCTGTGTTCATGTAAATGTGTGTAACTGTAAGTGTGAATGTGTGTGCGCATGCAGGATTTGTGTGCATGTGAACATATGTGCGGATGGTTGTATGTGTAGTGTATATATGTGTGTTAGGACTTGTGGGGGTGGTGAAAATGTGTGTGTGATGTGTGAGTGTATGTGTCAGGATTTTTGTGTGTGAATATGTGTGTACACATGTGACTATAAGCATGAGCATATATGTTTCAGAGTGTCTGAGTGAACATATGTTTGGGCACGTGATGTGACTTTGAACTGAGATTTGGGGGCAGGCAGTGTGCTGGAGCAGTTCCCTGTGTGTGTATGTGGGCATCTGTACATATGTGCATGTGCACACATGACACTGAGTGAAAACCAAGGCTCAGCCTGGAACGTGGGGCACAGTCGAGAGGTGCCCCTCTGGATACCGTGTTCACTGTGCTCACTGCCTCCGTGGCATGTGTCCTTCCCGCAGCGGAGACCTGCAGCACCACAGAGGACGGGGCGGAGCCACTCCTCTGTCCCTCAGGCTATGAGTGCCGCATCCTGAGCCAGGGCGACATGGCCAAGGGCATCCCCAACCGCGGGGAGTGTGTCAAGCAGGGCCCAGCAGGTGAGTGTGGGTGCCCAAGCCCCGCCCAACTCACCCTCCTATAACCACCACATATCGGAGCCTGGCTGAGGGCTCTTTCTGTCCTACCAGCTTGGCCTTCCTTTCAAATCTCCCATCCTCTCCCCCCCCCCCCCCCCCCCCCCGCCAGCCTCGCCGCCTTCCAGCTGGCTGACCTCGGGGTCAAGTGCTCAGTCTCTGAGCCTCGGGTTCCTTGTCTGTAAAATGGGGCCACTTCATGTTATTATGAGGGTTCATTTGCATCCGACATAAAGGCCTCAGTAAACATCTGAGATTTTATATCCATCTGTGTGTCTATGTTTTGAATTATCTGAGAACCCTCATTCGATGTGGCTTCATTAGCCTGTCTTTGGGGAGGAAGGCTGTAAGTAAATCGGTGAGGAGTATGAATAGCATCACTTTAGTTTGCATAATTTTCCCAAGAGCGGAAGGACTAGATGGTAGTACCTAAAACCCACATGTGCCTCATGCAAGACGTAAGGTCAAGAGGTTTGGTGTGGATTTGGAAGAAATGTGTGGCAAGTGAAGAATCTGGACCTTCGGGGAGATAGATGTAGGGCAGCTTCATCAAAGGTGAGCTCATTGGAGCCTCGAGTCCACACACTCTAAGACCCGAGTCCCCACTTCTGCCCTGAGTCAAGATCAAGGATAATTACAGTGACCTTGCTGGCCAAAAGAATATGTCAGAGCGCGTGGTCGGCCGAAGCTTTTTTCTTTTCTTTTCCCCCTGATTTGAGAAATTTATTTCTCTCAAGTGTTTTGAGAAAGACATACACATGAAATCAATTGCACATGTAGCGTCATTAAAACTACAAATAAGAAAATGATGAGACTTTAAAACTGTTTTGAGAATCCTGATCGCCGGAATTCTGAGCTTTGAAGCAAATGGAACCGATTAGGCTTAATTGTGATTTCTCCAACATTCCACTTGCTGTTTGGGATACTAGCAGGCTCCCCCCGCCCCCCACACCAGGCAGCTTGGGATTCCCGTGGCCACTGGCCCCTCTCTGCTGTGTGTCCCAAATAGAACCTTCCAGGCCCCATTTTCCTTATCTGTACAGTGGACTTTCATGGCTAAGCGGCCATTCCTCTTGCTTCAAAGCACAGAACAGAAACTTTAGACACCGAAATCAAACCTCAGGAAAACGGGGTATGCAGTCCTGCAAATGCAAAGCCCCAAGGGCAGGCAGGCCTGTCGGAACACGCCGGACTAAGAGAGCAGCAGCCTTTATCAAAGGCTGCGGAGCGAGTCAGGAGTCCTTTGGACTGTAATGTCATTTTTCATAACTGGAAAGGTCTGGAACCATTCCACCCTTATCATCCCCTGATCTTGCTCATTTTGTTATATGAAAGCCACTTCAAGGCCAGAGATAAGCAAGGAAACCATGAAATGATGCCTGTGGTGGATGGAGTGCCTCAGAGATACCGCCTTCACATGTTAGCCCAGGCCTGCGGAAGGAGGGATGTGACCAGAAGGCGGTGTCACATATGCTCAGAGTGCAGGCTCAGGGCCACAGAAACATGTTCGAACCCTACGGCTTTCTTCCCTGGTGACCTTGGGCAGGTAACCTAACCTTTCCTAGCCTCAGGTTTTTTCACTTGTAAAAGGAGCTAGTTATGGTCATGATAGTAATTGCTTCCTGGGATAGTGATAAAGCTTGCAAGGCCCTCAGAGCAGCGCCTGACACATAGCAGATCCTCAGGGAATGTATGCCACTATCTCTCCGTCTTATGGAAAAGGGAGGACAAGTTCAAGACCTTGCCCAGTCAGTGCATACAGCTAACAAGGAGCAGAGTGGGAATTTGGAGCCTGTTCACCTGCTCCAAAGCCTGTGGTGTGTGTGTTTGTGTGTGTGTGTGTGTGTGTGTGTGTGTGTGTGTGTGTGTGTGTGTTCCCTCCCCTCCACAGGAAGAACTGAGCCTTGCAGGTAGGAATGCAAATGAAATCTCTACCCTTGGCCCAAGTGGATTGCCACTTAACTAGAATTGCTGGTGCTTTTGGGGAGTTTGAAACCACCCTGAATTCCCACAACTTTCCTTGGAGCATAGGTCTCAGGGGGGAGAGGGGCACTGTTGAACCAACGTGATCAGGGAAGAAGCCTTTTATTTTTTTTAAACTACATATTTTAGACTAACTTTAGAGAGTGAGAAGAATAGTACCTTGGACCTTCTGACAAGCGACTTGGCCGGCTGTGGCGTGAGCAGGCATGACCAGCCAAAACTCATCCCAGGGAGAGGCGGGAGCAGGAATGCTACAGGGAGCCTGAGGCCTGGAAAAGGTCCTGGAACCTGGCTTATGGCAGATAAGCTATCCACCCCAGCATGCGGGCTGCCCCCCTCGGCCCCTGGTGCCTGTACAAGAGCTGTCAGAGCTGGTCCCAAACACCCAGATGGTTTTTAGGGTGACCACAGCACAAAAGGAAACAAAATGCCCAGCGAGGCAGACGGTGATTTTTGAATTATCTGTAATTGACATGGAGCATGGTACGAGTTCCAGGTGCCTACATGGGATCTCTTGGTGGTGCAGCGGTCAGACATGGCTGAGCCGCTGCAGGGGAGCCATGAGCTGCCCAGTGTTGTCACTGGCACGTGAAATACTGTGTTCTGACCAGGTTTCTGCTCTCCCCCAAATGTTTCCCTGCTGTGGGGGCTGAGGGAAGAGGTGGGGTTAGTGGCACTCAACAGGGAGAAACCATTTGAGACATGAAATTGCCAAGAGTTGACTGCTTTGGAACACACAAAAATGGCGATTTCAGATGGTTCCTTCTAATGCTTGCATATAGGTGTTGTAAATGAAATTATTTCTTTTCATCCCCACAATAACTGAAGAGGTACTGATTTTATGCCCATTTCCTGGTGAGATAACTGAGGCTCAGAGAGGATTGGTGAAGCCGTTAAGTGAAGATTCAATCTCGATTTACCTTGTCACTTGCAGTAATGACATTTGAATCTCTTTTGAAAGGACTAAAACAATACCATTTACTCCCCAGGGGAACATATTTTGTGATGACATTTGCTAAACAATATGTTGAAATTTTGCAACCAGTTCATCATTGGTCTCAGGACCCCTTTATACTAAAAAAAGAATGAGGACCCCCCTCCCCCAGACTGCTTCTCTGTATGACTGTGATATTTACCATTTTAGAAACTAAAGCTGGGACGCTAAAAGTATTTATGTATTAATTCATTAAAATAACAATGATAACTTCATTATGTAGTAACTCTTTTTGTTTAAAAAATAACATTTTTCAACAGAAAATAATACCGGTGAGAGGAAGGGTATGGTTCTACATGTTTACAATTCTGTATATGAATTATCAATAAGAGGACTGGATTCTCACATCTGCTTCTGCATTGGATCAGCTGCCATGCCAAAGCCATGTAGCCTCTGGCAAAGTCTCCCGAACACCCTAGTTAGAACGAGAATGAAAAACACAGCAGTTCTTTAGTATTCGCTTGAAAGTGGTTTGGGCCTTCTAAAATCCTGGAAAGGCATTTAATCCTCTCGCTTGTTTTCCAGAAGAGCCATCCCAAAGACATCCAGTTCACAAAAAATACCCAGGTAAGAGAAGAACCATCATTGCTTTGCAGAGTCCTAACAAGGACAACGGGCATTCTCGGGTGGACAAGAAAAATAAAGGCCAGGGACTCTCAGGAGCACTATCATTTGAAGCTGCTGAGAAGGGACATGGCCGGTGCTTTATGCCATCAGAGGACACTCTGGGGTTGTGGGGGTGGGACGCCAAGATATTTCTGTCCTGAAAGTCTCTCCAGCCTGGGCAGCCCTCCGGTTGGCATCTGACATGGACGGGAGCCCTCTCAGGCTGCAGGCTGGAGGGTGGAGGAGCCGCTAGACTGGTGACTGAGAGGGCCTGCGGCAACTACTCAGGGATGTCTCATAGGAGACAAAATAGAAGCTGGGATTGGAAAACAATGTAAAAGGCCTGTTGTCTGATTGGGGCTGGGAGGGGGCGCGGAGGAGTGAACAGATGAGAACTCTTTGTGTTGTTACAGTGGCGTTTCTATACCTCTAGACCTAAATCCAAAGACTCAACCAGGTTGTAATTTAACTTTCCAGTCCTTGCTTTTATGCGTCTGTGAACAGGCAGACAAGTCCTGGCATCCCAGGAGGTATGAGTCGAGAGGCATTCACAACAAATGTGGTTGCGTGATAAACACCAAACATCAGAACCCGGGACTGGAGAGACTTTCATTCACAGAACTGGAAAATATGCTGACACTGTCATTCCATTCAGTTATCCATTGCTCCGTCCACCCAACAATTCCATCATCTATCCATTCATCATCCATTTAGTAATTTATTCAATCATACATCCATTTATCTATATCCATCCACCCATCTTTTCATTCAATAATTGATTTAATCACTCCATGCATCTATCACATCTTGATTAAGTATATATATATATTCCTTCTTTATTCCATTCTTCATTCGGTGCTGGAAGTTGGGCTAAGTCTGTGAACATGGCAGACCAGTGCCTGCCATCGTGCAGCTAATGTCAAACAGGACATTCAACCAATAAGCCACGTGGGTGTGTAGTGACAGCAGGTGTGAGACTCCTGGAAGCAACTCAGCCGTCAGTGCAGCTGGAGCGTTTAGTGAGCGAGGGGGAGAGGGGCAGCAGATGAGGCTAGAATTGTGGGCAGGGCCAGGACACACCGTGAGTGAGGAAAGGAGAGGGACTATGGGCGGGGGGGGGGGGGGGGGGGGGGCCTGTGTACCTCGTTTGTGGGAAAAGGGAGACAGAGTCAGGCTGGTGTATCTGGACTTAACTTAGCAGTGATTGGCGAGCCTTTGAGCAGGAATAGACACGCCTGTCCTGACAGAGCCCTGTTCTTTTTGCAGAGGGAGACACCAAGAACGTGGCGGAACATGGAAAAGGCCGACGGAGGCACATGGAATAAAGTGGCGACGGGGTAGGTGGGAGCTGGTGGCAGGGAGGGGGGATTTACGCAGCCAGCTATCCTAGGTGGCTTTCACCCCAAAGTTGGCCGGTGGGAGTGCGAGAGTGGGGCTTCCCCTGCGGGTAGAACTTTAAACTCCCTCATAACTTCAAAGTAAACAGATGAGAACTCTGTGTGTTGTTACAGCGGGCGTTTCTATACTCTCCACACCTGCATCCAAAGACTCACCTAGGTTGTAACTTACCTTTCCGGTCCTTTGCCTTAATGCATCCAACAGGCAGACAAGTCCTCCAATGTCCCGTGACATCTGTCCCTCCCTCTGGCACACGATGCTTTCGAGGGCCAGCTCTACGATAGGCAGGTGCTCAACAGTCACGCACGGCACCTGCAGTGGGCTGGGAGCTGTGAGGGTGACGCAGTGAAGAGAACAGACAGAGTTCCTGCTGTCATGTGTGTGTGTGTGTGTGTGTGTGTGTGTGTGTGTGTCCTACATCCTTCAGTAGGAGACTGAACAAGTCAACAAGTAAGCCAGCAAGAAAGTGACAGGCTGCAACGAGGAGTGTGAAGGAAGCGGGCAGGCGATGTGGTGCAGATTAAAGCTGGGGGAGGAGTGGACATCTGAGACAGCCAAGACTTGAGAGGAGGAGGTGCTGCTGTCGTTGGAAGACCTGGAGAACGGGAACCCAGGCAAAAAGAGCGGGAAGAAGAAACGCCCTGATGCGGGAAAGATCTTGGCTTAAGCAGCGACAGCCTTTGTCATCTCAGGGCACACACACACTCATCACTGAAGTTCTGTGGCACACCACAGATATATTTTTGCCGATCTGACAAAGAAAAACACACACCAGGTATCATGTTGTTTCACTCACACTGGCTGGTTATTGTTGTGTTGGCTGTAGTCATTTTAAAAAATACATATATTTTATTGATTTTTAGAGAGAGAGGAAGGGCAAGGGAGAGATAGAAGCATTGATAGAGGGAAACATAGATCGGCTGCCTCCTGCACAGCCCCACTGGGGATCGAGCCCACAACCCGGGCAAGTGCCCTGATCAGGAATCGAACTGGCGACCTCTTGGTTCTTGGGTCAACGCTCAATCACTGAGCCACACCGACTGGGCTGTAGTCATTTGTTTTTTATTTAACAATCAAAGGGAAGGGTGGTCAGGACCTGTACCTAAACAGTTAGGCATTGCATGTTTTAAAAATCCTTCTGGCACCCCGGAGTGCCACAGCACGGTGGTTAGAAATCGCTGGCTTAGCGGAGCCACAGGGAAGCCCAGAGTGGGAACAGAATGTCCTGAGGAGGCCGGCCCAGAGGTCTGGTTAGGCACAGGCTCTGCTCTCAGACACAGGTGAACACAAGGATTCTGGGACCCCAGCACCTGGAGGGTCTCAGCAGGTAAAAGCTAATACCCACCATCCCCTGTGAAAGCTGAACATGGACACAAGGCCAACAAAAGCCCTTGGAAGCAGGCAGTTTCCCCAGCCTGTCCTTGGAAGGCATCAGATTTCAGATTCCAGAGCGTTCTGCTGTGAGACCTCCTGGGAAATCTAGAGCCAGTGGGGACTGACGCGGAAGTCTATTACCTGCCGATGACAGGAACAGTCTGTCCTTGCAGCGTGTCTGACCCACCAAGGACCGTGAGCCTTAAACATGCACGTGCCAGGGGCCAGGCGGGAAGGACAGATTGTAAGAGGCCGCTTGGGTGGCTTCTGGGAGCCAACACACCTAGCTTCAAACTCTTGCTCTGCCACCACATGACCTAGGCAGTGACTTCAACTCTCCAGCCTCAGTTTCCTCACCTATAAAATGGGAATGATGGGAGGGAGGTGTTAGGAACTAAGTAAGGTGGTTCCTGCAGGGACGTCTCAGTGAGTTAAGAATTTAGTCTCAGCAGAGGCTGACACCGTTCTGGTGTTCGGTGAGGAAGGAGGAAGAGGAGGACACGGATTTGTGATCCCACGTATTTGCCTAAGCAATGGCTCATATTCATTTCTTCTTTGCTTCCCCTTCAGCTAATCTGAAAGAACATTCCTCACTTTCTGCTAAGCCTTGGACACCGTTGTATTATATAAGAATGCTTTGACCCTCAGAGGTCATGCCCAGCTCAGCAGAGCATAACCCCAGAGATGCCGAGAGGCGGGATACAGGCTTCATCACCCGGCTGGGGGACAGTGGGAGCCGCTGACCAGCGCCGGGTCCTGCTCTGTCGCCTTGGAAACGCCTGGATCTCACTGGGCCCTGCAGCTCCACAGACGCTACCCAGGAAGAAGGCACTGCCTTGTGAGCACGTGCGAAGCTCTTTCTAAGTCAGAGCTCGGTGTTGTGTCATTTACAGCCTCCGTCCAGGTCCGACTCTGGTGGGCACACACCCAGCCTCCCAGAGTCTCAGAAGATAGCCATGTTCTCCCATGTTCTCCACGTTCGCTCATCATAAAATGAAGATGAACATATCTATTCATGCGTGATTCATCACTTTAACCATCGAATGATCTTAAGTAGGACCAGGGCTGAAGCCACTGGCTCCTGGGGGGAGAGGGAGGGTGGGTTTGCTGGGAGACAGCTCAGCCCTGCTTTCCGGCCATGTGTAGATTGTTTTGGCTAAGATCCCTCTGAATAGGGTCCTGGGAGGAGGATTTGGTGAAAGTGACGTATTATGGAAGTTTCTGGGGAAAACAGGCACAGGTGGAGAAATGGGATAGGAGGGAAGAAGGTCAGATGAGGAGAGGTGTCAGGGTGCTGCAGGGGTCATGGTGCAAACCTGGGGGTCCCACCAGGCCAGCTCCTGGGCAGGAACCTGTGAGGCCACTCGGAGGCCCTGAGTTTGGTATAATGAATTCTTGGCAATTGTTGAGCCAGAGGCCTACCTGTTCATCTGCAAGCAATCCGTGGAATTCGCCCAGCGGGGGGAGGGGTGTCGAGTATGTACCAGGTTTCCAGCACCTCCATGAAGGGGCAGGGCCACCCTTGGGAAGGGGCTGTCAACTCCAGGGGCAGCCCCCCTCCTGGGCACACAGGGCCCTGAGGGCATCTGTTACACAATTCAAATTTCAACAGCGTCTGCCCCAAATCGGGACACATATGCTCATAGGTTTGTGGGGGTACTGATTGAATTCAGCCCATAACCTGCTTTAAAAACAGATTGTGGTGATTGGTGTTGATGAATTGTTGGCAGGCTTCAACCTTTTTAATTCCAAATGTGGAGGCAATGCCTGAGAATGCATATTTTAAAAATAAGCCCCTGTCCCAGGCACACTATCCACACTCTCTTAGGAAACAGTCCATGTCCTGTTTAACGTGGAGATTGATGGCCTTTGGTATGTGCCATTTCTGAGCGTCAATGCATTCCAAAGAATTCTTTCCTTACTGTTTCCGTGTATAGAACACGGGTGAGGAACAGCCGCGCGACTCATGTGAACGGTGCATGAAGTGGGCGTCCGTCACGCTGCCTGGGAAGGTCTGGACCTTCACGTGGGTGGAAAAGAAGGACAGCTTTGCTCACAAATGTCTGGTCAGGAGACATTTCAGAGAATGAGGTTATGTCTGCTCACTCCAGGCACAAGCCTCAGAGAGGAACTTTTCACAGGGGATCTCACTGGTCTGGAAGGGACCTGCGGCTGGGGTGGCAATAGCTCCTGGAAGAGAGAGGGGTCTACAAGGAGCAGGGCTCATCAGGGCTGAGGACCGTGGCCTAAGGCAGTGGTCAGCTGACCACTCGCCTAAGGGACTGGCCAATCAGGGCTGGCCACACACGATGGGAGCAGACAACTGCAGCCAGCCGAGACTGGAGCGTCAGAAATCTGAAAGGACTCACCCAAAGTCGCAGAGCCAGTAGGTGCCGGGTCCCGGGTTCCAGCGGGCCTGTCCTGCCCACAGCGCGGGCTCCGGAGGCCCAGCTGCTCTGCTGGTTCTGGCTTATGGAGCGCATCCCTCCAGCCCCCGAGGCCCAGAGGGCGCTGGGGACAGGACTGAGTTCATCCCCACGTAGGGGGCTGCCCATCAGATGGGGGAGCAAGCACAGACAGGTCCATCTGGGATCCAATCCTGAACCAGGTGCCTACCTTCTCAGACCTCAGTTTCCTCCTCTGTGAAATGGGTGCAATAAGAGTGGCTGCCATTCAGAGCTGCTGGGGAGGATGGTGTGAAATGATGGATAGATGGGCATGGTTACAATTCCTTATTATTATCTTCCTGGCTCAGTCATCTGGGAGCACAACTGCCCCGCTGAGAACCTCTGGTTGAGCCCTAAATAATTGCTATCGCTCCATCCATCAGTGAGTCTTCCTGGAGCTTTTCTCCTAGGTTCCGGACTAATTAACTTTCCCACTCACCCATCACCTGCTCATTCATGCATCCGTACACTCATTCTGTTAATAAGTATTTGCCAGGCACTAACCACCATTTCTTGGTAAATCCAAGATGTGTGCCTTTGCACCCGTCCACATCTCTGATGCTGGCATTTGTCTTAGTTACAGCGGTGGCGGGCAGCAGGGCCCACTGCCTGCATCTGAGCACATGGAAATGTGTGGGTTGGGTGTCAGCAACTTGCAGGAAATGTCCAGGGACGATGGAGGAACTGCCTTCCAGGAAATTCTGTGTCCCCAGAGCTTTGGGTGGTAGAGGGGAGGGGTTTTCAGAGAGCCCCATTAACAGAAAAACTGATACTGGCAACTCTGTGTCGAAAAGAGATTTGGAAGGATGGGGTGCCAAAGTGACAACCTAGGAAAGACTTTCTCCCATTTCTTTCACTGGTGTTTTCTTTGGATGTTTGTACAGAATGATACATGCTTAAAATCTAGTCAGGCTTCTAATAGGTTTGAAATAGAAAGGTGGATGCACCCAATCCCTGCACAAAAGCACAGTTGGTGGTGTCATTTCTTTTGCTAAACACAAAGTGATGCTTGAACTATGATAAGTGCTGCTTGTCACGCTGAGACGCGGAGAGGAGCAGCCCAGAAACGGTCCCCGTCTGCACTGCATTCATATCCTAGCGGGGAC